CCTGAACTGTCATATGTGCTGAGTAAAGATATTCTAAGATGAGGTGTGTGTTGTGTTTGTTTAACATGTGCACATAAAAGGAGGGGGTAAAACAGACATTTATAATTTATCTGGCAACCCTGATGCAGGGTTCAGCTGCATTCATTGTGCATGCAGCGTCTGCATGACAGTTACATCCAAACTGGTGAAAACACCAACGTCTCTTTGAGCCTGGATTTGATTAGTTTTGCTCCTACATGCTGAAAAAGGGTGAGCAGCACAAAAACACTCTGCTCTCTGCCGTTTATTCTAACTGTAGTTAGTGCAGAAAAACGTTGGACTGCAGCCGCCTGGAGTGCGCATGCGAGACTTCACACTTGCAGAGCATTTTACACTTCCGTGGGGTGTTCCCCTGAAAATCTCAGCTCCGAGACCTGGATTCAGAAACCTTTGGTTTCGGAGAGAACGAGATCTGTTGTCGTTTAAATGAACGGCCGACGTCGTGTAAACGGGGCCTCAGACTGGCTGCCTATCGGCTGATGTTTATTTTTTAATGCCATGCGATCTACCCATAATACCTTTACAATCGACCAGTAGATCACCAGCGACGTATTGGACACCCCTGCTTTAGAACGAGGGCCAGCCTAGAACTCAGTACTGGAGTTCCTGAGGCTCGATAGTTCCTTTAATACTTAATAACGTCTGCTAATTAATCATTCTGTCATCATACCACTCCACTACATGAACATGTAGAACATGGTCCAAAGATCACACAGGAACCATGTGCAGAACATGTGTTTCACATGTCATTGTAACACGTTTTTAATTTTCTTGTTTGTGCTCCACCTGCTGTTGGATTATCACGACCATCTTCATACTCATGCCACCCATGCTGGTCATACTGGTATGTTTCTTCAATCTTCTGATGAGGAAACAACATAACAATATATCTTAAAGCTAAAAATTTAATGAAAATCAAAGGAAAATCGAGTCACTTTTATAAAGGTATTAAAAATTCACCTAGTTTGACACACTTTAAACTGAATTATCAACCAAATTATCAAACATCACTGCGCTAAGAAGTTTTTAGTTTGAACACGATCCACAGTTCAAAGAACAAAATGAACGATTTATGGATTTTAATTCTAAAATGAGCCAAGAATGTTTGAAGAGAATGAGAAATCACAGGTCCTAACAGGACACTGAGCCGGCTCAACCGCCTCTTTACGATGCAAATCAAACACTTACATCGCAGCTGCTGGGTCTCTGCATTCTGTCCTCGTTTGTCTCCTCTGAGTGTTTTAATTTCTGGTGTTCAGCTGCTCAAACACAAACTAGAGCTCATCTCTCTGACAACAAGTCCACACAGAGCGTCTCCGTCTTTCGCTGCTGCGATTCCGTCCCTCTTGGTTTCACCTTGTGCCTCTTCCTGTGATGTCAGCATCCTGTCACCTGCCTGGGCCTGCCTCCACACACACCTTCACCTGACGTACGTAAACACATGGGAGTGACGCGGACAGATCCCTCACTTCTCCACTTCCTGACAGTTACAGCTCAACAAGAGGAGGATTTCCTGTCAGCCAGGTGTTTTATAAGGAAATGTAGAAAATATGAGCTCCACAATCTCTGAATGCCGAGGCAGCGTTTACACAGTTCACCCGTTTACTGTTTCATCAGGTGTTTTTTTTTGCTCTAACTTTAACGTCAGCCTTTTTTTTTATATATATATTTTTTTTACTGTTAATCAAAGTGTTTATCTCAATTAAGATGTCACAATGTGGCTTTTGTAACTTTAATATTTCTTATAATATTTAGTTACCACTTTTTACCCTCATAGAAATGAACAAAGAACTCATTCTTAAAATAGTTGTGCACTTTGAAATCAATTTTTTATTATGGCTACAAATTAGCAAAGATTTGGAAAATGAGATGAGATGAGATGATGAGCTAATTTTAGCTTTTAGCTACTATATTGCAAACTTTATTTTTTGTTTTGTGATATTTAGCACTTATCCACTATTTGCTGTTTTGTTTTGCAGCTTTTAACTACTGTATTGCAAACTTTTTGTTTTGTTGTATTTGGCACTTATCCACTTTTTGCTAATCTTAGCTTTTAACTAATGTATTGCAAACTTTTTTATTTGTTTTGTGGTATTTAGCTCTTTGCTAATTTTAGCTTTTAGCTACTGTATTACAAACTTCATTTTTGTTTTGTTTTGTGGTATTTAATGCTTATCCACTATTTGCTAATTTTATCTTTTGGCTATCATTCTAAATGTATTTTTCAGCTAATGTTTAGCAAATTTTGACATGCGACTCATTTCTTGCTACCTTTATCTTTTAGCTAAAGTTCTGCTAAGTGCAACAGAAAAGAACTGAAACAGTTTGTGCAGAAATACAGATCCAAATGAGCGAAAGGTGCAATGACATCAGCTTTTCATCAGAGTTACTGTCATTTCATGCATCAAACATGGCCGTCTGAATGAAACCTTGTGTATTGTCTCATCTCTGCATGTTTTACTGTCACCATGCAGCTACACAGCCTCTGTTTTTAGTTTTAAACATATTTTCCATTTTATGGCTCTTGTTAAACGGATTAGAATTGACCTCTCTGCCCTCCGTCTCTGGACCTGGCAGGAAATCAACAGATCGGTTTACAGCTTCAGCCCAGAAACCAGTAGAACTCTTAACAGGTTTAGCGTCAAACAGCTCTAATATTTATTTTTTCTAGTTTAAACCAAAACCACCAGCCTGAATAACATGACCTGTACCACATGTGCCTGTTGGTGCTGGAGGGCGATGAGCTCAGCAGTTTTCCTGCTTCACTGAACTCACGGTGTAGAATCAGGTTCCTTGTTTCATCGTGAGTCATGGTAATAAAAAATATGCCTTTCCTTTCATCAAGGGATCAAACAAATTCAGTGATAAGTGACGACCATTAGATGGAGGCATAGTTTTTTATAGCGTACATGATCCACAAGTGAAATAACTAAATCATTGATTATATGAACTTTCACTGCACACCTCATGTCAGGACACACCCCTGAAAGATTGTTTTTCCTGTTGGGCTGCAAGTGGATCGTTCTTAACCGTTCGTCAGGAAGTGCAGAAATGAAACATAAGAGCAGGTGGTTTGTCTTCATCTGTGCATCTGACTCTGGTAACAATTATACCTCCATCTGCAGCATACAGGCTTTCTATCTGCAGCCATACAGTGAGGAGTCAGGGCTGAAGGATGGATGCATGACAGTAAAAAGTCAAGGTCACTCTGAAGAGATGGACAGAGTTGTAAATGGACGGAGGGAAATGGTGGGTCATGTACAGTTAATGTTCAGAACCAAACTCAAAACGAAGGGATGAAGACGTGTGAAGATGGAGACATCAACACTAACTTAAAAACAAAGGGAAAAAGTATCGGAAGATGGATACAAACTATTTATTTTTACAGGTGTTCCTGCAATAAGTCATACAGAGAGCAGGGTTACATTTACTTCAACACAGCCACAGAGTGGATCAAACTAAACTGATCATCATGATTATATATATATATATATATATATATATAT